TGTTATCTCCTTGTCCTGTCACTGAAAGGAATTCAGGGTATATCTAGAGTGTACATCTATCATTTTCCATGCATTCTTCTAATAGAACTTGGGGAAACAATTTAAAAAAAATAAAATGGTAATGAATCTTTTCTTGTTCCCCTTTTTGTATATGCCCAAATGGTTTCTGTTTCACTTAGAGAAGCTATAAAAAGAGGACACTCAAAGCTTTCAGGAAAATTTGACATAGTCAATGAACACATTCAGATATACATTGCCTTTAAGTTACGCGTTCATTTCAGCTTTTACAGCCTATGAAATATGCATTTTCTTTTTTCCCCCCAAATAACCATATCAATTGTTATATTGAAACTCTGAAGATTTAAAGACATGTCTTATTCTGGCTTTGTCAATATTTGTATCTTTCTTATAATCTGCTTTGCAGTCGTTTACCAGAATTATAATGCAGCATGAATAAACCTAAAAAATGACTATTGATTACAGAGAAAGCTTTGTGAAATCATTTAGTCAGTTTCCCCACTTGAGAAATCAGTGAATAAAAATAGGTCAATAGATAAGGATAAAATGGACGTAGTACAGTGCGGTGCCTCCCTGGGTTATATAAAGGGTCATAAATAAATCCCCATAGACTTCCTGTTTTATACTCATAAAATAAAATGATACTTACCAAATCCCAACTCTAAGTCCATCTTTCTACAAATGTATTCTTCTGTTTTAAACCACAGGCTTTGAAAGTATGTTTTTATGTATCCCTGTTTCATTTCCTTGTCACTGCCCCTTTTAACCAAATAGGATGCCCTCATCATCGGGCTAAAGTGCCTGTTGTCATCCAGGTATTCACCGGGACTTTAGCTGCAACAATTACTTTGTGTTTTCTTACTGTCTCCTGTAACCTTACAGCTCTCCTCAAAACTGCATTTCACAGCACTGAACTCTCCTCTGCCGATTTTTGTTAAGTACAGATAGTGAGACCTAAGACCACTCTTTCTATTTAGTTCTCATGCGTTTGGATCTCATGGGG